GCTGGCAAGTAGCTCCCAGGGACACAGGGCGATGGAAATAACCAGACCGATGTATGCGCCGCGCCGGATATTGATGAACCGGGGAAGAGACCACTCAGATCCATTCCTGCAGAAAACGAGTTGTCGACTGTATTAATCGCCAGTTGGCAGATAACAAGGCCAACACCGGCGAAGAAAGCTGCTGCTCTTGACTTGGCGTTGTAGTCCGTGTCCATCCATTTCAGAGCTAGGTTCGGTGGATTCCATATCGCTTCTCCGTATATCTGGAGAGAGGCAGAGGATGTCAGACATCCAAACACGGGGAGAAGTACGCCGAGGAAAATGATCGAAAACCATTGTCCAAACACCTGATCGCCCGGTTTTCGCGCAAATCGAGAGTAGTCTGGCTGATTGGTCAGGCCGACTGCGATATTACCGATGACTGTGGTAACGCCTTGGACAATCGCCCACCCCAGCTGGCTGGATGTCATTGGGGTTGCAGCCTGAGAGAGTAGTGGGCCGCCACCGTGTGCTTGGGATAGAGCCAGATCATTATACTCAGGAGTGTGACGAAGGAAATTACATTCATGACAACGAGTGGCTTGTTCGCCTTTTCTGGAGGCACCCATAGAATGGGGATGGTGATGAGGTTGTAAATAACCCAGCCAATGAAGTCCTTCGTCGTAAGATGGGACGATGCTGGAAACGTGTTTTCAAGATGTTGAAACCCCGAGAAAATGGCACTCAACACAGCTGTGACGCAAAGACCACCGGTCCATGCCTGTGTGGCCTGCCAGAGAAAGAAAAAGACCCTCTGAATAAGAGCCACATACGATCCGTATATACCCCATACAACACGAGACCAGACTGGGAAACCTATGTGCCATGTAGCCCCAACATAGCCGTTGAAGATAGCGACCAGAGCGACGATAATCTTGCCGAGAATGATGGCGATGACGGCCTGCCAGACAGAAAGGCCGATGGCAACGAGAGACGAACCGATTTGGAAGTTCGACAAGCAGATTTGATTGATTGCCCAGAAGGAAATGTAGGAGAATCTGTCCCAGGACCGTCGCGAGGGTGGCAGGGGACGGATATCATTGTTAATCCAGACAGATGACTTTGTTTCTGCCGTGGGAGAGACGGCTAGTGCGTCGACTAGGGAACGCAGCATTTTGATCTGCTATTACACGTTCGGAATATGTGTTCCTATTACATGTGTGAAATGTATAGATATGGATAAATCACTGCGGTTACAGAGATGACTGGTTCTTTAAGATAGTCTGGTAATTATCATTTGATATCCCTACTTCCAATGACTGATTTTACGCACGGCCAGTATGATAAGGACTACCTTGCCCTAACCAACATTCCCGATGGTTATCTTGCGTGGGTCATGAACTCGTCAACCACAACTTAGACTGACTCAGGAGTTTCGAGGTAAATAATGAAAACACGATAAATGTGGATCTCCGCCCAGCTTATATAGGCAAAACCCAGCAAATAGTCCAACATTTACAGGACCTGGGAATCCCAAATCCCGCCAAGCTGGTTATCTGCGGGGAAAAACACAACGCGATTCATGGGCGGAAGACGGATTGATGGACAAAATCCCGCGGAAAAAGCGGAGTGCGAATCGACGATAATGGCTATGTTGATCATGATACGCCTAGTTGATAATAAGCTGCTATATATCAGTTTGAGCGGAGGGCTACCTGCCTTTCTCAGAGTAGTGCACTCTGTCCTTGGATAGAAGCCTAGTACTGTTGTTGTGTTATTCTTATTGTCAGATTTAGTGCGAAAATTATAAAAATTAACCTTTTTACTATTTTTAATTTTTTATTAATTACCTATACTTATTTTTTTCAATAAATTTGTATTATATATAATATATCAATTTAATTTTTATTAAAATCTTTTATTTTATTTAATAATTCTAATTTATAAATATCAACATAATAAAGGTTAATTTTAAAATATGTATTTTTTAATATTATTAATTAAATGATTTATTATTATAATTAATTTAATTTTATATTAATTTAATTAAATAATTAAGTTTTGAGGTTTTTAAAAAGGCATGGGCGATCCGGGGAAAGAGTGACAGCTCTAGGCAGCCTGTCATTGGCAGGCTCCGCCCGCAAGTTTGGCCTCTAAGAGGGTAGCCAGGGCCCTACTAGCCCTATAAGGGCCCCGAATCTCCTACGCTGTTAAGCGGCTTGAGACAATGAATTCATTTATACATTCTAACACTGAGCACCAGTTCAAGACAGGCAGCAAGATAAATTAGAGGCATCAGGCCCCTAGCGCTCACTAAAACAAAACCTTCGTAACTTAAAGCTAGGCAGGGTCATTAAAATTGGTAATAATTATAATAAAATAAGATAAATTTAGTTTGAATGGCACAAGATGACAGTTAATCAGAATGAGTACGCAGCTTGCGCGTATCTTTGATGCTACTATATGTATAACACAAAAACTCGCCAGATACCACAGGCCATAATCAAGTACTATTCCACTAGAAGTCTTTAAGGCTATGATTCAAAGATAGTTGGCGATCCGGCCGCTCCAAGCGTCCAGCCACGTTGTACATATAAAGGGGCGAGGGCATTTACCCAGGCACGCAGCCTGAGTACGTTTATCACATATGGCAGTAGAACGATCACCAGACTTATCTTCATCTGAATCTATCTGACTCTCAAGATTCGTCTCACGAGTCCATAGCGCTGCATCTATCGCCCCGCGATGCCCGCCTATATCTCAAAGAAGACTCTCTGGTCGGCTAGAGAACCGAAATGTCTCAAGTTCAGCGGAGTTGGCATGGTTCCCACAGAAATCCCAAGAGTAGCAGAGAATGTGCTGCTCAGGGAGTTCGCCAGTATGAGATCGTGGGGTGGCTGTCACCCGAAAGCGGTCCGCCACCGTTGATGGAGCAGTAACTCCAAGCGGAACAGACGGTAGCCCACAAAGCTCGTGAAAACGTTCTCCACTGACTGCGACCACGGCGGCAAAAGTAACGACTGGATCAGGAGATGCGACACGGCAGTTGACTACTGGAAGCTTATTTGGAAGACACGGTCGGATGAGAGGTGGCGATTAGGAATAACTTGGGCTATTGTTTCGTTATTTGGGGCAGGCTCTTCGTTAGCTGTTGTTATCTTTTCCAGCTCGATATTCGCTATTACAGACGTCTAATATAGTGTATTTACCCGGGTGAAAGAGGCACCGCCACTGTGTCAATTCAACTAGAATTAGTTTTCTCGGTCTTGTGCGTCGTGGAGCGATGGGTGCTGGATGGTAATGGCACCAATGGCAGCACAATTAGGTATGGATCACTCGCTAGGTCTTTCTGTGTGCATAAATAGTCGGCCATCACCTGTCAATAAATTGCGACACGACAAGAGATCAAGATAAGATGGGACCATCCATACCAAATACGTACTCTCCGTGGCGGGTGGTGACAGGCAGCCAATCAAATTAGCAGCACTCGATCATATTGGTGGTTAAAAACTCCGGCTTTAGCGGCCTTCGCCTGTTCCGGTCATCACATGGTTGGAATCACATCAACATATGATGAAAAGAGAAACAGGCTTAGATTCAGAGCCGCAGACGGCGAAAATTATTTAAAGTATAAAACGAAATGGCATCGCGTGAGAAATACAAGTTCTTCGCACTGAACCACATTCATCTCTAAAACAACAATGTACTACAGTAGCGGCAATTACGAGGCCTTTGCTAGGCCACTCAAACCCGAAGGCATTGACAATAAACATGCCTGGATTGTTGGTTCTGGCTTAGCTGGACTTTCTGCGGCTGCGTTTCTTGTCCGGGATGCTCAGATGCCTGGAAAAAATGTCACCATTCTAGAGGAGCTACACCTCCCTGGTGGTGCGCTGGACGGGTTTAAAGTTCCTGAAAAAGGATTCGTGATTCGCGGCGGTCGTGAAATGGAAGCTCACTTTGAGTGTCTTTGGGATCTATTTCGCTCTGTGCCATCTATTGAAGAGGAAGGAGCCAGTGTTCTGGACGAGTTCTACTGGTTAAATAAGCGTGATCCAAACTATTCGCTGCAGCGCGCAACCATTGAACGCGGCCAAGATGCCCAGACAGGCAAGCTCTTCACTTTGAGCGACGCTGCACAGAAGCAAATGGTCAAACTCTTCTTGGCGTCGAGGCAAGACGTTGAGAATAAGAGAATTGACGAGGTATTTGGCCAAGACTTCTTCAAAAGCAACTTTTGGCTCTATTGGCAGACGATGTTTGCATTCCAGACTTGGCACTCTGCGCTGGAGATGAAACTCTATCTACACCGGTTTTCAATCATATTCACGGTATGCCTGATTTCTCTACACTCAAATTTACAAAGTACAACCAGTACGAATCGTTGGTGCTCCCATTGAAAAAATGGCTCGAGGATCAGGGTGTCAAGTTTCAATTCAACACCACAGTGCATGATGTCGATTTCGACATTACTGGTGATACAAAGCAGGCCACCTATATCCACTGGGTCCAAGACGAAAAAAAAGGCGGCAAAGACCTTGGCGTCGACGATCTAGTCTTCTTGACAATAGGTTCTTTGACGGAGAATTCTCACCTTGGAGACCAACATACACCCGCTACTATCCAAGACGGCCCTGCACCTGCATGGGATCTCTGGCGACGTATTGCGGCTAAGGGGAAAGATTTTGGTCGTCCAGAGGTATTCTGTGGCGACATTCCCTCTACAAAGTGGCAGTCTGCAACTGTGACGACCTTAGATAAACGCATTCCCTCGTACATCCAGAAGATTTGCAAGCGAGACCCTTTCAGTGGCAAGGTGGTAACAGGGGGCATCGTCACCGTACGAGACTCTAACTGGCTTATGAGCTGGACTGTAAATCGACAGCCTCATTTTAAGAGCCAACCTGCAGATCAAATTGTCGTTTGGGTTTACAGCTTGTCCACAGAAAAACCTGGCAACTATGTCAAAAAGGGCATGCAAGACTGTACTGGGGAAGAGATTACCCAAGAGTGGCTGTATCATATGGGTGTTCCAGAAGCCGACATACCAGTTCTTGCTGCTGAAGGTGCAAAGTGCGTTCCCGTCATGATGCCGTATGTTACATCATTCTTTATGCCCCGGCAGGCGGGAGATCGTCCTGACGTTGTGCCTACCGGGTCAAAAAATTTCGCATTCATCGGCCAATTCGCAGAAACCACGCGCGATACAATCTTCACTACAGAGTATTCTGTTCGAACAGGCATGGAATCCGTGTATCAGCTTACTGGGGTCGACCGCGGAGTACCAGAGGTTTTTGCTTCAACATATGACGTGAGGCACTTGTTGAGTGCGTCGTGTCAACTGAGAGATGGAAAGGAGCTTTTAACATGGATGCCAGAAAGGATACGAAAACTTTTGTTTGAGAAGTTAGAGGCGACGCAAATTGGGCAGCTATTGCACGAATATCATCTGATATAAGTTATAGAGTAGATAAATCTATATAGATATAGATATAGAGTAGGTTAATAATTATTAACTAAATTCATTTACTGATTAACTAGATTACGGTGCTAATTTCCTCGGACAAAAATTTGAGTGTAGATATCACAGATGGAGACGGCGCAATTAGTGATTATATCGAATTCGCAGTCTTCTTTGCACTTCATCATGCTTCTGGTTTCCGCGAATACAAAGTATGTCCGAACCAACGCCGAGAGTTTTCTTGTCTGTATTGTTGTAGTCCGACCAATCAAATTCAATTTAATATCGCCCCTCTAAAATTTCTAATTTGCGGATTTAGCGTGGCCTAGTAGAGAGGCTCTCGATTCCGGCCGAGTTATCTCCTATCTTGGTTGACTTCCGAAGTATACCCGATATCATCGATTTGACGAAACGGCCGATGATTTCATTTCCGACCTCACTATTGGTTTTGGAACTGGGCATTCGAAGTCCGACAGTCCTTGTCGAGGCGAGCAAGTGGCCAAGTATAATCGGTTGGTGGATATTGAAGACGAACTAAGATTTTCAAGGTTGAGTAACAGTCAGTACGCAGGGTCAGAATTCGTTTAGAATGTCCATCCGCGTGTTTAGATGCCATATATAATACTAGTTGGATCCAGCAATACTATGCTACAATAGGAATCTCCCATTGGCAATAAGTGTGCAGAGTCTGGAGAAATTTGATTCGGACGTACGTACGGTCAGACACCTCATAAAAGAGTCTTATTCACAGTACAGTAGGGAATAAAACTAATATTATTATCATAATCAATTTGAACGACCTTGCCTGGCTGTAAGCTGTGAAGGTCTCATCTTATTAGGCGCTAGGGGGGCTTATAGGGGCATACGCCCCTAATTCCCGCCACTTCCTGCCCCGAACTGGTGCCTAACGTTACGATGTACAAACGAATTCCTCGCCCCAAGCGGCCCAGAAATGTCGCCCCGGAATAAACTCATTGACGCCAACCAAACAATTTTAAGATTAGTACCTTTACCTTTAATATAAATAAATATTTTAGATTTATTAGAATAATCTCTTGTAATATAATTTTTTATTCACTTTACTTAAATAAATTTATTAGGATTACTTGAACATTAACATTTAAAAGTTGTAATTTAGATAAAAAGACAGAAATTTAATATAAAAATTCTAGTTACGTAAAATTATTATAATTTGATTAATTATTTATTACAAATAAACTTATATCTTATATTTTTTTATCATTTTTACCAAATTAGCCAAATTCTGACTCAGGAGCGTCCTGTCACGCACCGGGACCCACTCTAGTTGTCACTGGCTGTGTCGAGGAGCGATACGATGTGTTGAACCACACAGAGGTTCCTTGAGGGTAACTAGTAACGAAGTACAAAGGTTGCCGAAGGGTAAAGGTGAGGGTAAGACACAACTAAAGTAGGAGCGATGCCTTGAAGTGCCGTAGTACTTCAAGTGGGATTGCCTTGCTGACCCTTACAGTGTAACTGATAGTAATAATCGTAGTGACTTATGTTAAAGAACTATGCTAAGGTAAACTAGATACATGCAAATGGGTGTGTTTATATAGATGTCGTTCCTACAATATCCCTACAATCTGTCCGTATACAGATTGTATATCCAATCACCTTCTTGTCTTTTCCTACACTTCTCCTACACTCTTATTGTATACCCGAGTGTAGTTGCTTATGTAATGTGTAATCCCGTGTGAGTAGCAAACGGGCTGTGTGTGGTCGTGGTAACTGGTTGGCCGTGGTGTTAGCCGCTTTAACAGACACTTGCCCTGAAGTGGCTTAAGACATCCTAATCTGTCCTTAGCTTTGCATATGTTGGTTTCGTAACATCACTCCCCCTCCTTGAAGTCCTTTGTCCTCAAAGGTATAAATAGAAGACGCGCCCTCGTTCCCAGCGTGACCCTGCTTCCTTTGGTGAGTGTCCGAAATGCGTCAACATGACTCCTAAAAAGGACCGTCTGGCTTATCGTGTGTCCCAGTCCGATCGCATCCGTCGAAACGGTTTCCCCGTCGATAATCCGTGCGAATATTGCAAAAGTAAAAACGAGATTTGCATAATGGATTCAAAAAGTCGAAACTGTGCGTCGTGCACACGTCGTGGTCGCAAATGCGAAAAGCGATTTCATAGTGAGCGAGAATGGTCAGATCTTCAGAAAGCTGAGGATCGTATTAATCAAGAGCTTCGCGATGCTCTTGCAAAACAGGCGGATCTGTCCGCGAAAATAAATCGTTTATTCAAACAACAGCAGTTTCTCAAAGAGCGAGGTTCGAAAATGTTGGATCATGATTCCAACGTGATGGAGATCTTAGATGAGGAGGATCCCGATGGCATCCCTCCTCCTTCTCCGACGAGAGAGATGCAACTAAATGCTATCTCCGACGTGGATTTTGAGGCCTTGTTCGCCAACCTGCCAATGTCTCCGCCTGGTGAATTGGGTTCCTCCGTCGGTAATCCTCTAATGCATCTGGAGCATCCGCGAGGTTCTCGATAGGTTCCCAAGTGTTTTCTGAGGTATCGTATCCCTTCCATTTGACCAGGTAGACAAATTTCCCATTGACTTGCTTTTCTCCTAGTATGTCTTCGACTTCATATGTCTCTTGCTCGACAATGATATCTGTTTGGAGTTTTGCATTTGATGGCGCTGGTTCCAATGATGAAACGTGGAACACTGGGTGTATTTTCATGGCTTTTGGTAGTTTTAGTTTGTAATTGACTTCTCCGATTTTTTCTTCAATTTCGAATGGCCCAATTCGTAGGTGGTTCAATTTGTCTTCCTTTCTTTTGGCGTCTAAATTTCGTAAAAGGTAGACCTTCCCTCCCTTCTTGAGATCAGGTCCCTTCTGATGTTTTTGGTTGTATCTTCTTGCCGATTGTTGTCCTTGATTTTCAATTTCATTGTGTAAATACTGGTGTAACGCCTTCATTGCGTTGACCATTTCTTCTGCTTCTTGTGCGATTGGTTGCTTGTATTTGGGTTCTCCTGGCATTCTTGCTTCTTTTCCTGTGTATGCCTTGAATGGTGTCATTCCTATGGTGGCTTGCTTGCTTGTATTGTAGGCCATTTGTGCCATAGGTAGTAGCATTGCCCAATTATTTCGGTCGTAATTGACGTAATGGCGTAAATACTGTTCCAATGTTTGGTTCGTTCGTTCAGTCTGTCCATTCGTCTGTGGGTGGTAAGCGGTTGACAGCCGCTGTTCTCCTCCCATAAGGTCCATCATGGATTTCCATAGTTTCGATGCAAAGGTCTGTCCCCTATCTGAGACCATAATCTCAGGTATACCGTGGTGCTGAAAGACTTTGTCAATTAACAGTATTGCTAATTGTTTTGCTGTCAATTGCTCCGTGGTTGCAACGAAGTGCGCATATTTAGTCATTCTGTCCACTACCACAAGTATCGAATCGTTTCCTTGCGACTTTGGTAGTTTGACGATGAAATCCATTGTTACCCATTGCCATGGATATTCTGGTGCTTCCAGTGGTTGCATTAGTCCATGAGGTTTGTGCCTATTAATCTTGTTCTTGTGACACTGGTCGCATTCCTTGATGTGGTTCTCGATGTCTCGAATCATTTTTGGCCAGTAGTAGTTCCTCGTAATTCGTTCTAGAGTGTTTGATACTCCTGGGTGTCCTGCCAATATGTTGTCGTGATGAAGTTGGATAATTTCCGTTCTGAGTGTCTTTGGTACATAGATTAGACCATGCCAAAATGCTAATCCTTCTTCCGTCATTGTGATTCGGTCATCCTCATTGTTTACCATGTTGAATATCAGTCCGTCTTGCTCGGTTTCTTTTGCGATTCTGTCTTGTAATTCCGAGTCTGTTACTCCTTCTAGTGTTGCTGCGAGTATTGCCGTTTGAGGATTATGTACTAGTGTTCCCCTATCTGTTTCCTTGAACAGGGCTGGTTCTGGTGATCTGATTCCTTCTTCATGATCCGGTCTCCTGCTTAGAGCGTCTGCTCGTTCGTTGTCTTTTCCCTTGCGGTATTCTATTTCGTACCAATAGTTTGCTAGCAATTCCGACCATCTCGCTTGTCTTCGGTTAAGAACCTTGGTTGTGAGGAAGTAGGTGAGGTTCTTGTGGTCCGTGATAACTCGTATTGGGAACTTAGTTCCTTCCAAGTAGACTCTCCAATGTCGAAGTGCTGTCACTATGGCTAGCAGTTCTTTATCGTGAATCTCGTAATTGAGTTCTGCATCAAGCATTTTCCTTGAGTAATACATTACTGGTCGTAGTTTCTTGTCTGGTCCTTCCTGCATCATTGCTGCTCCTATTGCGAAATCTGAAGCGTCTGTTTCCAACACTGTTGGTTTCTCCGGGTCGTGTTGCATCAGTATAGGTGCGGTGGTGAGCCGAAGCTTCGCTTCTTCGAATGCTTTCTGGCATTCCGTTGTCCATTCAAACTCGAAGTCCTTTCGTAACAGTTTGAATATGGGATTCATTATCCCTGCGTATCCTTTCACGTATCGTCGATAGTAGTTGATTAATCCGAGAAAGGATTGCACTTCTTTAACGTTCTTTGGTGTAGGCCAGTCTCGTACCGCCTGTACCTTTTCTTTATCCATTTGGATCCCTTCTTGAGTGATTCTGTGTCCCAAGAAGTCCGTTTCTTGTACGTGAAACTCGCATTTCCTAAGCTTCAACTGTAGCTTTGCTTCCCGTAAGCGATGTAGGACCATCCTTACGTGTCGTACGTGATCGTTCATGCTGTCTGAGAATATTAATATGTCGTCGAGGTATGCGACAGTAAAGTCGTATAGGTAATCCCCGATTACATGGTTGATGTACCGTTGGAATGCTGCTGGTGCATTGGTTAATCCGAAAGGCATAACCAGATATTCGTAATGTCCAAACTTGGTCTTGAATGCAGTTTTCCATTCTTCTCCTTCCTTGATTCTCAGTCTGTTGTACGCGTCCGTAATATCGAGTTTCGTAAACCATTTCTTTCCTCGTATTTTGTCTTGTATTTCCGAAATCAGGGGTAATGGGTGACTGTCTCGTATAGTGATTTTGTTCAGTTGTCGGTAGTCTATACATGGTCGTAGGTCAGTAG